AGGATGGCCAGTCGGGGAGACAGGATCTCATGCGAATCGACGAGATGGACGATCGTTGGGTGGACGACAAACCGACGCCTCCCACGTTCCGCGACGAAACTTTCTCACCACGAATGACGAGGGTCCCATCGCTCAACTGTCGCACGTCTTGCTTCCTGGACTTCGTTTCCTGCAGGGCGATGACGTGGTACTTGATGTGCCCTGCGGCGTGGAGAAGAGCGTGAAGGTCGGCGTCTGTGGAGACTGTTCTGGCGTTGTAAGTGCAGAGCATGAAGCAGTCTCCATGGCGGGTCGTCGCAGGTGTGCCGTTTTTGTCCAGTACAAATGGCGCCCTGACCAACCTGCCACCAGCCTTGTTTCCTTCCGGCGCCTTAGTCGGGGTCTGATGACAGGGCTTTATTCCTTTACTTGCTGCTCGAGTTTTAAATTTTTTCCCCGGCATTGAGTCGGCTTACCAGGCCTGCTCAGGCCTACCATATTCAGGCGATCGCTGACCATCATTATGTGGAGTGGGGACCCGCCTAACGGCTTATTAGTCAGACGGCGGAAGCTGACCCGGTTCGCTCTTTGCTGGGCGTCCGGGAGCCAGAGGTTAAAACTCTGGCTGCAGGTAGCTGACACCCAGGGCCACCCCCACGCCACTTTGAGGCGGCGAACCATCGTGGGGGCAAGCATCTTTCGCATAATCCAATCCGTGCTGCTTGCAGAGCTCGTCCGACTGCATCCGGGAACCGACTGCATCTAGCAGTATTGTGTATGTCTTTGTTTTGATGTAGATCACAAAATGCACATGGGGAACGTGGCTCGGATCGTCTGACTAACTCGTTGCAAGACGGTTCGAATGAACTCATTTGGCGTAGCATGCACTCGTGGGTGGGCTCCATACGCAGGTGAATTTCGCGGATTGCAGCCGCGATGGGGGCAAAGGCTGGGCCAGTATCAATATCTTCGAGTAAGTGTCGAGTTGGGACATGATTGTTGATGAAGTTAGTGATGCTCTGATATTTATACTAGCTTACTCTCCGCCCACTTTTTTGTATATATGAGGTACGGACATGTGTTTACTTGTGAGGAGGAACGGCTAATGGTGGATAGTATCTTTGAGTAATTTGATATGCTCTTAGTGGTGTTGGCTTGCTAAGCACTTAATAAAGCATTCGAAAAGTGTTTTTACAACGAGGATAGCGATGCGTATAACTGATGTGAGTACCTTTATCACAATTTTGAATACTAGCAGTATGGCTGTTGGACCAAATAGGTGTGTCATGCCGATGAGCATGGTAACCGTAGCGAATGTCCCGATAGCTAGCTTCCAGTGCTCGGACATGGTATTTAGAAGAGGTTGAAGGTCGGGTAAGTCAAAATTCGTATTGAATTTGGACTGTGTTGGTTGTTTTCTTCGGGAAACACAATACTCCTTTTGCTTCGGGGGCGGTAGCTGAGTGTCCCTCGTAATCCAAATGTCACATCTTGACCATTGCAGATCGTGTGACATTTCTGTAGGATTAATGCGTTGCTAAACTCCATTGATACAGTATTGATTGTGTTGTTTTCACCGCATTCAATCGAAAACACTTGCGTAATATCGCACTGAACTGTTGCCCAAGAAGGTATCTGCGTGAAACATGGTATCTGTAATTGAGCTCCCTCTAAGCAGTTATAACATCCTTTCAGTGCTATAAGGGTCATGTTGCAAGGCTGTTCAATGATGTAGTTAGAACTGTTTACCAACAGATTGGACTCCAGCATGACGGTCATTTCGCCTTCATAGGAATATGCGTTTACCTCTTCATTTTCTAAGCGGATGTTTGTGAATAGAGTTGTGATTGGCAACATGTTGGCGACATCTTTTTGAAGACTTGAAATGGAATGCCGAGGGCATTTACATGCTTTTGGAGCTTTGAGATTTTCGCACATACAGATCATACGAATTTCGCATTTCGAAAATCTCTCTAATGCTTGTTCTTTTGAATCGCATTCAATCGGAATGACGTGTCCTTCAGGTAAAATCAAACCTTCGTTTTTGGAAAAAGCAAATCTTCTATCCATGAGAGAAAAATGCGGTTTTTGGATGGAAATCACCGTTATGGATATTCCGCTTATACTCTGACTCACATACGACTGTAGGCTTATCGATTTCTGTATACCCCTGTGATACATAGTGATATCGATTGCTATCTGCGCTGCGGCGGACCATTCGATGCAGCGAACGACTTTGTAGACTGACCTACTTTTTGGAACTTGCGCGAGGCGAAGAAATGAGCATGCGGGCAGGGGCAATAAGCACCCGCAGGCGATGCCGCCGCATGTCTGATCACATGCGAGATAACTTGGGTAATTTGATGCCATTTCTACCTCTGGTACAGTAGCATTGGGCAGAATGTTATTGCATGCATTTTGTAGACATGATCCCATCTGAGCACATCTAGTCGTGCGATAGAGATTGAATTTCATGCTTCTGTATAGAAGAGCGATTCTTCTTACACACTAGTTGCATGGGTTCATTTCTTACTTTTATCATACCTACAATCGTATTGGCATGTTGAATTTGTATGCAGATTTCTTTATGTAGTTTTTCAAATATGATTTCTTCACTGAATGTGTAGGTACATTCTCCTCCTGATTTGCATACCACTTCTACCGTTTTGCGGATATGTACATGCTGGCAAGCAGATACTTCTGTTATCGCGATTAGTGTTACCAGCATGATAGCTAATGTTGTACGCTTGATTAGAAAGATCGGGTGGAAGGTGCACGACTCTTGTTGGAGTTCTTCCATACACTCGCTTATGTCACGATGTGTGTATAGGGGCCTGCAGGATCGCGAGAGTCGGACGTGTGTACGGCCATTGCGCCGCGCACGTCAGATGCGCGTCCGATGACTCAGGTAGGTGCCAGACTTATCCTGTTCAACAGGTTCATTCGGTTCACCACCTTTTCTATGGACAATGCAGTGATTTGACCCATGAGCCGAACGAACCGGTTGAAGCGGATGAATCTGGCACCTGCCCTAGTGACATCAGACGTGCGCGGCGCAATGGCCGTACGCACGTCCGACTCTCGCGATCCTGCAGGCCCCTATAAATACTCCATAATATGATCATGGGGATGATTGTTGCGAGGTAAAGGATAAGCGCTACTGTGACGATGGCCCCGAATGGCCAGCAATGCGGGTTTCCAATAAGGTCTTTGCTTAGTATGCTGGACATATTTCGCATAGACTCGGAGGATGGCATTTTTTGACTTTCGTGATTGTGCCAGCTGTGGAAGTATGTCTGTACGTTTACCATGCGATGCAGTGCTGAAGTCGGAAGCATGAACTGCATCTCTTTTGTATTTGCAGCGAAGGACAATGGTTATCGAAACATAATTCGAATTTCACTAGTGGCGGGGTAATCTGTAGTGTGCCATCTGAGCAGTTGATATGAAGCTGCTTTGATGCGGATGTAGGATCGATCAGCATTACCAGCATCAGTGGGAGAGCCGAAGTTGAATTTCCAGCCAGAAGTGGGGGTCACTGGTCTGTCCAAATCTCGTTCGTATTCCTGTATGTCAACTACAGCACGCGTTTTGGACGCTCTTCTCAGATTATCCCTATTTCCTCTCATCTTTGACGGCTGGTGATCTATGTTCTCATCTTCATTTGGATGAAGCGACAGTATAGGGTGTTCTGGGATGGAACGAATTTCAAGTGAGTAAATCTTGTTAAGGGGTCGTTGTAATATTTTGTGATTAGGCATTAGTATACGTGCCGATCTTATCATCCCATCGTTACTTTCAAGCAAATCACTATTTTGCCGTATACCCACTGTCCTCGCGGTATGAGATTTTCCTCTATTAATACAATCTCTCCAATGTTGGGATGCTTCGCAGTATGCCGTTTTTTCTAGATGGCATTTGTGGCTATCGCGCAATAGTGTAAGATAGTCGACATTCCATTTCTTTTTTATTCAGCTGTCTTGCTGTCCTCCCACTTGTCTTGAAGTTTGTCGAGGAGGACTTGAAGAGACTCTTTACTTTGTTGAATAGACTGTATGCTGCCGGTTATTAGGTTTATCGATCCTAAGCACGTCTCGTACTTTTCATCGTCTAATTCTTGAAGGATTAGTCCTCTTTGTATGGTGCGAATTTTTGCAGTAGCATTTGCAGAGTTTTTGCACTTTGTGCAATTGGTGTTTTGAAGAAAAATAGCGCCATTTTTCTGTTTTTGCGCTAGTGATTTTGCTTTTTCTGGTGTTCCAGGAGTGTGCCCTGGACCTGGGGGCCAGCGGGGTTTGCTGGATTATTTTTTGCCAGGATGGATTACCCTGGACTTGTTTGCCAGCGGGGTTTGCTGAACTTTTTTTGCCAGGTTAGGGTGGCCTGGACTTGTATCGGCTATTTTTTTTAGTCGATGCACCAATTTGTGGTGGCTACAAGATGGTTTAGTGGAATTTTTAATCTTTATCGTTTTTTCGCAACATAAAGGCCGGCTGGGTGCCGGGCCAACACAAAACGCGAGAGCCGTCTTCGGAGTTGGCCGAAGATGATGGCCACAAAGGGTATTATGCGATAACATATGGCCAGTGTTATGCGATACAACACATGGCGCGGGGAAGGGATTCCTGGGATCAGGAACAACCTCGCCGTGTGAATTTCGTGACAGACATACAGACAGACAAACAGGCAGACGCTCAGCGCTTTATTGTAGACTAATTGGCTTTCCCGGCTTCGCCCGGCCCTGTCAAAACACTACGATGAAGGTCCAATCCCTATCCCTGTACAACCTTTCCCTGTGCACACATCTACATGCCAATTCACGAATGCACACGTGAACATTGCGAATTGAAAGCTATCTATCGTCTGCGCCCCAGAGAGGTTCCCATAGGTACCACGTCATCTCGCTGCCTTTCGCACTTTTGAACGTGTTAACCTCAGGCACTTCCGTCGAAATCTCAGGAGAAACGTGTCAAAAAGAGCGAAAGGCAGCGTCGCACCACGTACGCACGCTGGTTCACATGTTCCTGTTAGTAATCAACCAAACGATGCCAAAAGTAAGTTTAGTTTCATTTCCATACGTATTCTCGACTGCTTTGGTTTCAAGCATTAGTTTGCCATTCTGTCTAGGGTGGGTTCATACTGGTCCGCATGTTACGGAACACTTCCAGCAAGCGCACAGTTCGAGCGCTGTGCTAAAATTGTTCCAGTACCTACGGATCAGTTTGCATTTTCATCACACATTTTCATCCCGGTCCAGCCCGGATCACGATAGCTGGTCCCTGCTCCAGCCCCTCCCACCCAACTCTCCCCCGCCCTTCTCACCTAGCCGTTATGCTGCGCTGAAGGGTTTCCTGTATCAAAGTAACTCACCCGCTGTAGGCTCGTCTTGAATTACCGCTTCCTTCCTACCGCGAAAACGAATGAACTCTGCTGCTATTGTTTACACCAAATCATGGAATTGACTTGCTAGCCGATGTTGAGAACTCATTCTTATGCCAAAAATCAATAAATCAATAGAATAGCCCAGCGAATCGCCGCAAAAAGTAGCGCTAAACCACCTCCGGGGTCGAATACATATGTGTGCAAAGTTTTAGCCCAATCGGTTGAACGGCGGGCGTTTCTATAGCTCACATACCCTCCAAACGGACAATTTTTGAGTCTTATATATATAGAGATCATGATCTGATTTCATTATTATCAATCTATCGCGAATTCACCCGTTGAGTTGCTGTATGGTATGATATCTTCCGTCTTTCAACATATTAGGGTTACGGTAGTAGCAAGTACGTGCGTGTATCCTACACTGACTTGATAAACTATTTTTGGAGCATCAAAATATTGTCACATGTATATCTGTATCTTTGTATGTTTGACCATGGTAAAATCTGTTGCATTATATCACTGAAATTCAAATCGTGTATAAAGTGTCTATAGCTACTCTTAATACGGGTAAGGTCTGATTTGACTGACTGATAAGTGCAGTAGCTATCTGGCATTGTCGAGTTTCTAATGCTCCTGTTTTTGAAGAATGTGATTTCCGTTTCAGTTCTACTCGTTTATTCCCTGTTATGTTGCGGCGTTTCCTAAAATCTGTTGTTGTGGCGCATACTCCTGTTATTGCAGAGCTGAATCGCACAAAGAGGTCTGCAACATTCAAAGAACACGGGCAACATATTTATGAGTGGTTTCCACGGCTAAGATGCGGAAACTTGTAATTCCCAAGTACTACGGTCGTCCGTCGATTGGTTTGGCTCTGTTTGGCTGTGCAAATCGTCCGTTCTATCACGTCTGTGTTTTCCCCGATAGAGCGCTAGGCAGAAGATACGAAGGAAATATTCTTGAACAGGTATACACTCTTTTCAAGCGTAGGAGCTCTAGATGCAGTCAAATCTTCAAGGTCGGAACATTCGACCCATTGCCGAATACTAAAAACGAGAAATTAGTATCTCTTAACTTTGGTCGACTCAAGTATTGGATTGGAGAACGCAACGCACATATTTCTGTACCTGTTTTGGAACTTCTAGGTAAGTTTAGTGATCTTCGTATGCTTACTGCTGACTCTACGTTTTCAGGACTTTCTGGGTTGTTTCCCATCCATCCAAAAACATTCGTTCGAGCAAGGCACAACAGAGAGCACGCCGCTGCTTCTCAAACCCACGTAAGCGAAGAAAACAAAGAAACCGAAGAGGAAACTTCTTCGGATAAGGTAGGGAGATCCGCTCATGCTTAGTCCCTCTTTTTGATGTTGGAGTTCCAGGTCTCTGCATAGTGACATCGATATGGGTATTCGTTTTATACAAATAGTTTGTGATTTTATCATACTGCTATTGCTGCATCTGGTATCGTTTTGTCTACCTGATCGATGTTTTGATAACGTTAGAATCAATTATAATGAAAGCTTATTCTCATCTCAAAGTGTGTACGGTCGCATTGAAACTTCGCGAAATTGCGTTGACACCTATGAAGCGAAGGTTCGTTCAGGTGAGACCATCTCTTTTTTCAGTCTTACTAATATTATGTGTATTGTCGTATTCAGTTGCCCAAGAAACTTTTTCGTCTTGTCCAGTAGGATTGCTTTCGGTTGAGCTTGGTCCTGTTGCACGTTTTGAAGATATGGCACATGTGTAAGTCCAGGATTTTATCACTCTTTCTCGTTCCGGGAGAGGTGCTTTGTAAAGTTGAAATATCTCTGTTTGCACAGTCTTTGTCCATCTTAGTACTATATATATACATTATCACTTAGTCACTTCGAATAATCGAAAAGTTTTTTAAATTTTGTTGAAGCTTTATATTTGGAATTAAATGATCACCTTGGGTAAGTTGATTGGTTTAATCAGATGTTTTATGCGAAGGGATCACCCAAAAATTCTTCGGGATTGTGACCACAGTACTAAAGATACGCAAGTATGCCTCATTTTGGGTTTCGGTAAACATGAAGTGTTGCCGTATCGCAAAAGAATTTTCATTGTGACAGACGATATGATTGCACCTAATTGTTTTGCCAAGTTGTCCCTGTGCATCATTATTTTCTGTGTCGACTTAGTAGCGGACCTCAGTGAGGTTTGACTTCTCAATACGAGTCATTTCGGTGGTTAGCATGTGGTGTAAGTTTCCTGTGTTAAGCAGAGGAGTTCCAAAAAATATGCTCATTTAGTGCAAAATGGCTTTTCTAAAGTTGCTGACATTTGTTCGTGTTTTTTCCCTGTTTTTCTTTTGCAGAATTTATTTGGTCACCTTCAATTTTTTCAGTTTTTTCATAGTCATTACTTGAACAGCGTTATCGTTTCATTTTGGCACGTTTTAAAGGCTCCCCCACATTGAACTCAACATTTCTGTCGCCGTTCATGAATATGTGGATTCTGTATTTATTCGTCTACAATGCGTCTACGCTCCTGATGCAGAGGATATTTATTGTCATGACGCCCAACGTATGATGAGCGAGGGGCAGTGGTTGTGGCCATGTAGAGCAGTTACTTTTCACAGGAAGGACGTTTTTTCAGTGAGTTTTATTGATGGCTTGTCATAGTTGCGTGATCGTCAACATCACTTCCTTACCCGTAGTCCTTTGCAGCTTCCTTTCTACTTTGGGTACTCTTGTTTTCGTGTATTTGGCTTATCTCAGTACATGGTCAACGTAACTGTGTTTCCTCAAAACTGTCGGTAATTCTGTTTTTACTATTTCTAACATTTGCTTGATCTCCAAGCGTCATGCGAACTGTTATAGGTCAACTCTGCTCATCACTTCACCTTCGGATGTACAACTGCATCCTTCCATTGCTGAGTATTATGGAAGTGAGGTACAATCTGCTGCATTCAGAATTTGTAAGGTCTATGATTTGTACTTGTCAGGATGCTCGCTCAAAACTCTCTCCTTTGCTGATTGTCGACTTTAGCGAGGAGGATGGGATTTGGCTTCGCGTTGAAGGACCTGCATTGCAAATCTGTATGTTAGTTACGCAATCAAGCAAACAATTTTACATGAATTTTACAGCCAGATCTATCGCAGTGTCCGTTTTCGAGCGTCGATCAGATGGTACACTTCATCCTCTTCAAACGTTCACCATCGCTCGTCCGACTACGGGATTGAAGGTGTGTCCATTTGAGTTTCTGTTAATGACGTCTTGAGTTATCGTGGTAGTCCATAGTGTTCAGTGGCGTAATGTAGCAAAAGGAAGCTACGTTGCTTACGCGCATATCCCTCGCCACGACTGCCTACTTGTTTGCGACGAAGTGGCAGCTTCACCATCTGGATGTAAAATGTGTGTTCATACTATGTTGAATTTCACCCTGGATCAGGACAGAGCTAGTTTGTCTTGGCGAAGTTTACGTCGTATGCGTGATTCTAGCTTTTCAATTCTATTTGCGCTTGGCTGTAAGTTTTTATTCTCACAATGGTGGTCTCGATAAGTAATCGATTTTCCAGCTATTGTTCTTGTGTCAGCCTTCTGCGGCATGATTTACGTTTTGTTTTTGCGCAGAAGAGTGCGTCGCTCACCTGTGCGAGTGCAAGAGATCGAGTTACAATCAAAGCCGATTGTTCTTATATTGACTCCGGATGACTGCGACGAGCACTCAGAAGTGGTACTTTTGCTGAGCCGTTTCCTTGAACGTCATGCTGGGGTCACTGTTCTTCTAGACTATCGCGAAATGGACAGTAGTGGTACGTTGAGCTTATTTTGCGTCTCGTTTTTGCATCTGTTTTATAGCTGTTCCATCTCGATGGCTTGTTGATTCCCTTTGCCGGTCATCAAGGGTCTTGATCATCGTATCTCCGTGTTCTGGACTTGTACTCAACGGACAACATCTGCGAAAACGACGACCGTTCCCTGATCTTTTCGAAACTGCGATGGATATGATCATAAGAGTCAGTATCTTTCGTCTTGAACGTATTCACATCTTGTGTCATTTTAGGAGCATACGCAGAATATCTCTTCTAACAAGTACCTAATCTGTCGCCTTCCTTACTCTCCCCCGACTCCAGATCAACTCAATCTCTTAGGATTCCCTCAAGTAGAAGGTGAGCTTCATTCATGTAGTAGTAGAGAGAAAAATCATTCTGAGGCAAGAAAATTTACTTTCAAATTGTACTGTTCCAGCTCTTTAATTATTTTGTGAAAACAATTTGAAAAGCCCGTTTGAGAGCACTTCAATTGCAGCGGATACTGCAGCAGGTTTTCCATGCAAGCCATAGTCCGATTGCGACCGCAAAACACGAACGTAGCCTCCCCGCAGTCCAGTCATCCTGCTTACCGTATAGAAAACATGCGCTGCAGTCAGGGGCAGCATCGCAATCTCATGTTCCGGCCAAGTTCCCGTTTCGGTAAGAACGACACCAGTTAGAGAGGCTGCTTTCGGAAGTTCTGAAGCGATTCCCCTGCTTCACTAGCGGAATTTCGCAGCTGCAGTCGGGCTATGGCTTAAGTGGGGAGCCTGCTTTATTAAGGGATCGTTCAGACCGCGCCTGTACCCGCCCAAATACGCCCGAATACGTCCAAATACGCCCAAATACGTCCGAATACGTCCAAATACGCCCAAATACGTCCAAATACGTCCAAATACGCCCAAATACGTCCGAATACGCCCAAACCCGCCCGAACCGAAACTGCCAATGCGCAGCAAATTGCATGCAAATTGGCATATTGGGCCACGCGCGGAATACTGCGTGCGTGGCGCATATATGGTAGCCACACGTAGCTCGACGTTACATACCGATTTTCATATGCGACTAGCGGGATTACAAAGATCAATCGACTTTGCGTCTGTTTTTATTTCTTCTATTATGTTTGCTGACTCTAGGTGAGTTCTAACTTTCGTGCTGTGCGTTTTCTTTTCTTTTGAGCATGACGATCTTGTTGAGGTAATGCTTTGTTCTGTCTATGAGTCATTTCTTTCCATATTGATCTGGTGCAATAAAAAGGCCCGGTCTTTGCTCAAAAGCGCCCAAATTTTTCTGTCTTTCTCTGGAGGAGAGATAGGAGTGAAGAGAGATTCAAAAAACTTGAGCGCTTTCGGACGCTTTTGAGCGAAGTCTGGCCGGGGCCGAAGAGGTATTCTAGTCATCTTTACGCGTTAGGCTACTCCTGTAAAGTATAAACAAAAAGTTGACAACGCACGTACTTAGAAAACAGACAAAGAAAATGTGCATATTCTACTCATTCCATCAATATGGAAAGAAATGACTCATAGACAGAACAAAGCATTACCTCAACAAGATCGTCATGCTCAAAAGAAAAGAAAACGCACAGCACGAAAGTTAGAACTCACCTAGAGTCAGCAAACATGAGAAGAAATAAAAACAGACGCAAAGTCGATTGATCTTTGTAATCCCGCTAGTCGCATATGAAAATCGGTATGTAACGTCGAGCTACGTGTGGCTACCATATATGCGCCACGCACGCAGTATTCCGCGCGTGGCCCAATATGCCAATTTGCATGCAATTTGCTGCGCATTGGCAGTTTCGGCGTTCGGGCGGGTTTGGGCGTATTCGGACGTATTTGGACGTATTCGGACGTATTTGGACGTATTCGGACGTATTTGGACGTATTTGGGCGTATTTGGACGTATTCGGGCGTATTTGGGCGGGTACAGGCGCGGTCTGAACGATCCCTAAGCAAACTTACTTGCTCTCAAACCTGCCCATGCAACGCCTTCAAGCTGACATTTCGACTGTTTTCGTAGAGACATGTTCCTAGTTCACTATATCAGAAATGTTCAGTTCCATCGGATCTTGCTCGCCTCACTGCTCTCATTCATGCTATCGATGTTTACGGACTCAACGAGGCTCACAACAGTTCTGAGTTGGCAGAGTTGTCCAGTGCTATAGAGTCCATGAAAAAATTGATGGAAAGCGATCCTACATGGATTGTTCGCCGACTTGACAATGAGGTTTGCTTTTTTGGCCGTGTTTGCGCCAGATGCAGTTTTTTTCTCATGCCATTAGCTTCAATCTCAGCTCTACTTTTTTGCGAATGATTAGCCGCATATATCATCCTCCTATCGTTTGTCGGTCTCTCATGTGTTCCGATTTTACCTCTTCTAGGATGATCGCATGCTGGTTTCTAATGTTCTGGAAGTCTCCGAAAAGAAAAATTTCTTGCAAACGGCTGAGGACAGGCGACAAGCAGCTGACCAGTTTGGATTACTTCCTCCTGAAGAGAATGAAGTGAGTACCTCTCAGCTGATCTTTTAAACACTCCCAAAATAATTTTTTTAGAGTGAAGCTGCTGACGAACCATCTGAGTTTCCACTACTTCCTCCAGATTCCTCTGACGAGGATTAGCTTTGTATCTCATCCGCGGGTTTTGATAGACTGTACATCTCCAAAATCTTTTTGAAGTTCTTTTCGTAGAATTTATCTCTTCCTTTGCTTTATCTCGTAGAGTTTGGATGAAAATGATGTTGATATTTACAGCTCTCTGTTTTTGCTTGTCCACCATGCCAGATTTGCAGTATGTCAATGAATCGCTAAGCTCAGGTTATTTGCGAAAGTTTCTGATCCTTCTCTTTCAGTTATCATTGCTTCTATCGTTACTGTTACTTTTTCAAGTTCAGAGTCTTTTGTATGAAAATGTTGACATTTACTGTTATGTTGTATCGAATGATTTTTTGCCACGTGTGATAAATATTGCTAGGATTTCACTCTACATTTTCTCATCCTGTTTCAACGTTTATCTGTCTTACAACTGCATATTTTTATAGCCTTAGTTTTCTCTAGGGAAAATATGACGGAACACAGGAAAAAGGAGCGGCGGAAAGAGGGATCCGTTGTTGAATGTAAGTTGCACTTTGGGTAGCAGTGTCTATGATTATTCTCTCAAAATACCAGGGATATGCTACTGCTGACCTTGCATGCTAGAGCGCGGCACACTCCTACTTTAGAATAGTAGTTTCTTTAGAATATATAGGGCGCATTTTAAAAATCGTGACGATGGGGGACCACGTGCTAAGCGCAAGCCACCGCCGGAAAGCACATTTTTTGGTTTCATCTTCATTCGATTAATGTTTTGCTTACATATGATAATATCGAGACACTGGAAGTGACTGAGCTGGAAGCTGAGGTGATGCCTTCTTGTATGAGCGTTTACGCTCCTGTACACGCAAAATCCGCAGTCAAATCCGTGGTCACGATTTTATAAATAAAGTATACATTGATGTGCAAGTGCTTACACCAAGATTTGCGCCTTTGAAAAAGCGTCATGCTCTGCCCGTTACATTTATAACTGCAGGCTGTAGTTTGTTCCGATAACATTGCATAAGTCACATTTACTTCAAATACAACCTTGATGGAGGTCCTAGTATTGTATAGAACAAACGTTTTTTCTTGATATGATGCCGAAGACGGTACTTTTTTTCAAATTTCTTCTTCGCCAAGAAACTTCCACGAAGGAGATTTACCCTTTACTGAACTGCGACAGTCAGACCTGATTTTTCCACGTTTTTTATATGTAGGGAGAGTTCGCAACCTGCTTTCGCAGCTGTTAAAATTAATCTTTTTTGTTTTGTTTGAGCGCTGAATTTGAATTGGGTAATTACATCTAAAAGTCTTTTGTCAGAGTTTATGGGTGAAGGCGTATCAGTAAGGCCCTGGCCAGACTTCGCTCAAAAGCGCCCAAAAGCGCGCAAAAGCGCCCAAAAGCGCGCAAAAGCGCCCAAAAGCGCGCAAAAGCGCGCAAAAGCGCCCAAACTTCTCTAACCTCTCCTCACTCTCTCTCATCTCTCCTCACACGAGAAAGTGAAGAGACACCAGAGAAATTTGGGCGCTTTTGCGCGCTTTTGAGCGCTTTTGCGCGCTTTTGGGCGCTTTTGCGCGCTTTTGGGCGCTTTTGCGCGCTTTTGAGCGAAGTCTGGCCAGGGCCTAATATTTGAATTTTTGAGTCATTGATCTTTCTTCTATGCCTAATCTTTTTTTGCTGCAATAAAGTTGATTTGGCCGTTACATACTTTATTCTGAGTTTAGGCAACTCTCCAAATGCAACATTATTGGAAAACGCTTCGGACCTTGCTTCAAAATACGACTCTATGCAGCCTTCTTGTGCCAGTGATGATGTAGATGGTTTGGTGTGCGAAGTAAGTGTAAATTATTTTCCTTCTCGTGTATATGTGCCTGTACTCAACTATTTGGGCTGAAGTGGTACCTGGGTTTTTGCAGGAACGTTCGTCATCTCCTGTTGTTAACAACTTTGTGATTGATTCCGATGATGACTGCGACAGGAACGCTAATGAAATAAATGGTGACGATGGAAATAGTCATGCAAACTTCTCTAGTTCATGTGGTAATTTTTCGAACATTCTATCCAGCATTATGGTTCAACATGATGTATATCGTATGATTTATCTTACAATTCAATCTCATTCCAAACCTATGAATTGAATGTTGAAACTTGTAGGTGCAGAAGTGATCACGCACAACCTAGACACGAATAGAGCATATCGGCAGCGTCATGCACTTCCACCAAAAGGATCAAAAGAAAGAGCAGAAATTCTGAAGGAGAACGCGAAGAGACGTATTCAGGAGTCAGCAAAAAGACATCAGTGAGCTACATAATCAGATTTTTCACCTTGATTGATTTTAACGTTAGGTTTTCGCTTCATATTAAAAAGAGTTTTGCAGATGTCCGTACTGCGAGTATTGCGCACCGTTTCCTAGCAAAGTCAAACGTCACATAGCTAGTTGGCACAGCGGTGAGGCTTTCTAATTGATTTTCCATCGCCTATTTTTGAATGTGTTTGATACAATTCAGATTCGCATTGTTGCCCTGACTGCCACGCGAAATTCAGTACATACTCCATGCTGCGGAAGCATATTTCTATAGAGCATCCGAAGACACATAAGTGTCAGTTTTGTGACTACTCGCACAAGGTAAGTCAGTTTTTGAAGTTCTCTTGTTACATTTGATCCCTTTGTTATAAGTAAGTCTTAGATTCGAGCTTATGTACGCAAGCATACCATCGCTAATCATGAGAAGGGTATGCTGTGCACGATAGCAGGATGCAATAAGCGCGTATCACGTTGGAGGTTACGGTACGTTGCAAATAAAAGAATTTTTTTGCATCCAATAAATCTTTTATGCAGAGCTCACTTGGAACAAGAGCACCCTCTTTTTGAATTGAAGAACTCTTCGTCCGACTCTTCCTCCCCAGCAATCGAAGCTGATTTGGCTCTGAAATGTTCACAATGCAGTTTTGAGACCGATGAGCTGGAAGATTACAACTCGCATGTGCAAAAGTATGTTCAGTCCTGATTCTTCAATGTCGCAAAGGTTGATCGTGAATTACAGCGCTCATGGGTCTGGAATAGAATGCCCTATTCCCGGATGTTCTATTCGCTTTCTACTTGGTGATATGGACAGACATTTCTCATCAATGCATGACCATTCTGAGTTGGAACATGGTGCGCTGTCTTCTTCTGAGCACACTTGATTATTTCTTCAAATGACATATAGATCTGCGAAAATCTCTGTTGGAAAGTAGATACGAAGCCAGTTGCACAACGACAACAATCTCTGATTGTGTTTCGACCTCTAGCTGCTCTGAAACGCCCTCTTCGATTGTCGACTTTGCTACCCCTAAACACTCTCTACGAGGGATTCCCGAAAACAACCAAGGTGGGGTGTCACACGTATATTTTCTTTTCTTTTTTTTTTTACTTTTATGTTTATTCCCGTCTTTTCGCCATTTCCCCGTTGGCATTAAAGGGTTGTCACACATATATTTTCCTTCTTACTTTTATTCTTTTTCCCGTCTTTTCACCATTTCCCCGTTGGCATTAAAGTCTCCCGAATTTCTTTTGGTGTTTCTCTCTCGTGAACATCCCTTCCTTCAGGCCGCACAGACTTTCAATGCAGCATCTGCAGAAGAGAATATGGAAACTATCGCCTTCTAAGGAAGCATATAAAAAGTGTTAGTTTCACTTGCTTAACACATTGAAGACCGCTTGACACACATGGTGTGTCAAGGCCTGAACTTCGTTAAAATAAAGACTATCCTAGTATAAACTCATTCCAAAAGTTTTCTTTTGTTGTGAATCTAGAAGTAGCGCCTCTATCTTCTTTGTCAGCCTTCTACAGCTACTGTAGGTATACCGTAGATGGCATTATGCGTGATTTTATCTGAAAAATGATGACTGGTCCTTGAAAGGTCTTGGTCCCAGGAGGTAGACAACAAGAAGTTTGCGTTGTCTTCAATGTGTTAAATTTTCCAGCAATCACATTATACACTTTGTTTCTATCTAGGTTCATGAAAAGAGTTATGCTACTTACACTCGTCTACCGAAGTATGCTTGCAATATCGACGATTGCAAGAAGGTGTTTACCACCTCTGGCCTTCTACAGGATCACATCAACATGCACAAAGGTTTGTTGAAAACTTCATCAATCCATTTGTTTCTCACATGCTTAATAAGAGTTTCTCTAGATGTGAAGCCCTACACTTGTACTCATTGTGACCGCTCTTTCCATGCGAGAGCAAGATTTGCTGTGCATCTCTCGAAATATCATGGAGCAAGCATACGTGATTACTGTTGTGTTTCTAATTTTTTGACACAAAGTGTACATGGTAAGCGAGAATAATAGAGTTTGAATTCACCTGTCAGAATTCTATTTTTTCCATAGATAGGCATGTTTTTTTTCAAAATTTGAATTTATTCTTAATTTGTGGCCTTAGCAAGTTTCTCGAGAGCAATTGTTTACCTCTTCAGGTTGGATGTTACCCTTTGTTTCGTTGTTTATATGCAACATTTCTTTTTCGCATGCAGCATTTTCATATTATATTCAAGTATGAAGTTTCTTTGTGTAATCAACGGAATGCATTTATCACAATCAAAAAGGGGATCAGCAGTTCTTTTATCCAATCGATTTTCCTAGATTCTGAAAAACCAAGAGTAACACTTACACAAACAGTGATGGTTTTAAAAATACAGAAACAAGTAGGCGTCGGCACAATTTGTAGCGAAAGAGCTTCAAACATATGCGTTTGGAGGCAGCATGAAGATCCCTAAGTACAAGGCTGCTGTTTCTAAAAAACCGAGCATTTGAGCCTTTGCAATTGCGGCCTTTGCAGCTCGACATCCAGCGGTGGCCGTTCAGGCACAGTTTCGTTTCTTTGCAATTGCGGCCCTTGCGGCTCGACATCCAGCGGTGGCTGTTCAGGCTCTGTTTCGTTCCTTGTCCTATAATAAGGGCGAGCAGCCTGTGATGTGCAAGTTTGAGAGTATTGTCCTTACTGGTAAGCCATTTCAAGATCGCCCTTCTTCGAATCCGGGGAAGGAGTGAGCATAGAATCTGGAGCAGGAGTGAACATATTTATCTGTTCGTTTTCATGGTTAACTTCATTTTCTAAAACTTTTGTGTTGAAAGTATCTTACAAATTTAATGAGATTAATGCTTGCCTGTGTTCGGTGCTCCCATATTCGATGGCTCAGCATCTGCAGGTGGCTCCGTATTGATCCTGTTTGATGACTGAGTATCCGTTTGAGACCCCGACTGCATTCCCGACATCTGCACCATTGCTGCAAAATATATAGCTTTACAATCACTACCGAAGAAATTTTAAGGCTGTAATATGTGGATGTTGTCATGTTGAATGCATGTTGAAAGATTATGGGACGAACCGAAGAGTTTTTGCCCCCTTCCTTCCCCCCCCCCCCCTCCTCCCCCCCCCCCCCCCAAAAAAAATTCTGGGTGCACAGTGGTGCACACATATATTTCCAAGCACTTTTTTGACTTGTAGTGCCTTTACTGAATTTTCGATATAAAAATCTCTCTGTAATTCTCCTTATGAGTATAGTCGCTCGGATTTGATCTGCCTAAGGCTTGCCTTTTTGGCCCAGTATTTTTTACGCGCGACTGTTGTCGGCATAGGCAAACTGCACTATACAACGTTGAATTCCGGAGTAGATTGATGACTTACCCCTATGAGAGCGCTCAACAGCTCTTGGCGGTTGCACACCGTACCTCCTCCTGTGCATTCTTCGTCCATCTAAGATCAAATACGTTAGAAAAGGATGACGTGAAATTAGGCTTACATGGATCGTATCCTCCACCCGCCAGCTGTCCTTCCTCAGAAATGAGCGTGTCGTCGACAAATTGCATGTTGGGAGAAAGCTCTGCAAACTGCGGCACAGCTATTAGTTGGTACCTGGAATGGTAAAAGCGGAGTTCAAATTAATAATCAAGTATGCTCGGATGCGAGACCTTGCTGCTTATTCCTATAAAAGGATATATATGCGATTCATAGCACGCAAAGACTGCGGAAATATCTGCGTCTCTCTAATCGAGCGCTCTTTTGTTTCTCTTACCATCTGCCGTCTCTCCCAAGCACGAACTATCTCGGCCAGGCGCAACGGCGCTTAGTCTTTGCGTGTTATAAACCGTGTATTGCTTAGAATATTTTGGGCCGATGTGATGCTCATGTGGAAACACTTCTGCGGCCATGGGATGCAATTGATAATGCGCGCTCAATAGTTAAATTTTACGCGCAAAATGTTGTTTGCTTTTGAGTGTAGCAGTTTGCTGCGCAAATGTTGTCGGTGCCGCAGAGGCATTATTGATCATTTTTATTAACAGTTTTCTAGACTATACACCAAATAAGAAATTATAGACAATAATCAGAATTCTGTAATAGATTCGGAAGTACTCTGTATAGTTTATTCTAGAAGATGCCGTGCAGGGACTGAGCAGTCATTGTTAATTATATATCAACTCTGTTCATCTCCGTTTCGTTTGCATTATTTCCAGAAATGAAATGACCACATAGTTATTATGCTCGTTTTTTATGCTCTCACTTACCTGGAGGTGTCAGGGTTCCCATACGCTGTAGATTGTGGTACGTAGATTACGTTCGTGGGAGCTTTGTACGCAAATTCGTCGAAACGCCTCGCTGAATGAAATATGTTTCACGCAGGCATGCAAAATATTTTTTTATTTGGTTTCTACTATTTTCTTTGTTAGAGCTACATACTGAGGAAATATGCGTATGCTTGCTGCAAATGTAATTCCGTATGTAAATTGTAAAGTCATTTCCGAAAAAGTCATGTAATCGAATGTATAAGAGTGTCAGATCATATCGTCTTGCGGTACCTAAGGAAGAATGCAAAAATTACCGTTCCTGCTGAATTTGTACACCTAGAAATAATGCCTAGTAATTTTTTGGGTTGAAGCGATCGACAAAAGTTCCAAATATCTTTTTTGGATGAGACTGCTTTTAGACTTAGAAAAGCTTGATATCAGTCTAAAAACGCGTTTACACTTCCTAAAAGTCCAATGGCGTTCACGAAATGTTGCAAAGGCTTTTTAGTAATAAGATTCTTGAGAGCACCCTGTGTATTCTAATTGTAAGCATTCTTCAATCATTTCAACCTAATATTTTGGGGTCCGGAGCGGAGCCCGGACCCCAAAATATCAGGTTGTAACAGAATTAATGCAGGTTTTTCGCGCACCTTTTTCAAAATGCTGGTTTAGAACGGGATAGCGTTTTCCCTGAGAGTTTTGCTTATCATTTGGAAGCTCTTTTCTTCTAATTTTTTATGCAATCTTTCATTTCAGTGGAAGCAAATGTGTGTAGAAGTTCTGAGCCCATGAATTTGAAGAGCCAAATCTCTATATTCTTTCTTTTAATATACCTTGCTCTAAAACCAACAAAAACAATGAGATTTCGCTGCAAATTTGCGAAATATTTTTGAGTGAGCTATGTTACAAAACGCATGTCGAATCATGAATTCTGAAAACATCTGAGCCGAGAAATTTCAAAGCAAAATTCAGCGGTTGCTGTGGTCCGTCTACCCTATATAAAAATCCTCAGCGCGAAGCGACTGCGGAGCTTCCGCTTTGTATAGAAAGAATAGATTTTAGACATTTATGGCTGAAAAAATCGGGAGCCGTTCTCCTTATTCAGTTTTAAAAAAATTCAAAATTTTCAGAAAAGCGATTTTTCAAATTCTCAGAAAAGTCGAAAAAATTAGTACTTTCAAAATTGTTTCAAATATCCTCTCGCAAAGAATTCTTTTTCAATTCCGAATTTAGCGCTTCCGCACAACCGACCATAGGCTACGCAGTGAGCTATATATGCGCTACCTTACTACATTTGATAGTAAGTTATGGTTTCTCAAAGTGAAGGTTTTCCAAAAAAATTTCTGGCAGAATTCGGGCTATAAGATCTTTATCAGTGAAGCTACAACAACACAATAATGCATACTGAGTTGAGAAAGATTTCTGATTACAACAATTTTTGTTGCACACGAAAAGACTATCTGTGCAAAAAGTTATAATAATCCAAACACAAAATTCAGAAAACCTGCATTAATTCTGTTACAACCTAATACGACTTCCCCTTTGTTTACCGATAAACAATGCACATATCATTCTTTATTCATCATTCCTTGTTGATGCTACTGTCCTATGAACTTAGATTCCAGCAATGTAAAGATTCTGTGCTCCGATCGCTAGCCTGCCGCAGGCGGGAATTCAAATAATTCTTGTAAGAGGAAAATAACAAAATAGGCTCGTTTTCAATGCACAAGTAACGTATGGCACCAAATTTGCTGTGTAGTTGGAGGACCATGAGCACAAAAAAAAATTATGAAGAATTATGAGAAACTTATGTGAATTTAAAAAATGGTAAGTGTTTTTCGAAATTAGGTGGCTCCCGCGCCACCTGGGAGCCACCTGGGGTGGCTCTCTGCTTTCCTTCACATAATTTCCCGGATTTCTTTACATAAATGTGGACTAGGTCGAGAGTATTACTATATGTTCAAATCCGCTTCCAAAACCACCAAGGCACCGCTTCGATACAGCCCCAAATAGGGTTCACAGCGTTATGATCGGCCTCGGAAAGCGCGCTCCAATCGCAATCGGTTATTGTAAATTGTAAAGTTTCGCAGCTGACTAATAAATGAGTAGTATCTTAGATATATAAACGTCAAAATTTGTGCAAATCTTGACCCTATGTTATTTTATAGATTCCTTTGCGGATGAACCCATTGAGCTGAAACCTTGAAAACATATGTTTTCGGCCTCGGTAGATGTTTTAAGCTACACTTCGAAGCAATTCGTGGAATTCTTCTATCGATTTGATGATTTTTGGCACCTTGCAAGGAAAGTGAACACTTACCAGCCGCTAACAAACTGCTTGCACATTTTGGTGTGAACAATGCAGTGAAGTTCATTTCCACTTTAAAATTAGAAGGTGCAGTCACTCCAATAAGCCTTTCTGAGGTAAGCTCGTGCAGGAGGGTAAAGGGGAGGGCTGCAGTGCAGTATTGACACTGCAGAAAAGGGGTGGAGAATATGGCCCAAAAGGACGGGAAGGTAGAAGGACAAAGTGTGGCTTTTGGCTATCCCCTCAAACAATGACCCGGGCTGGATCAGGAAAGCCAGGTAGTACTAGTATAATAAGCGCTGAGGCCGCCCATCTTATTATTTGTGTGTATCTGTTTGTCAGGGACTTACGGGGGTCAAAAATAGGGTCAAAGGGGAAGTCGTAAGAAATTTTGGCTTCAAAGGGGATATCGTTTTCAAAATTCTGAAATGCCACCTCCTGCCGGGCCGTGTTCAACATTTTTTGGTCAGGCCAAATATTTTATTTAAAGCAATGTTTTCTAACGGGATTTTAGATCGCCTTGTTGAGGAACTTTCTTTTAAGATCTTCTCTCTAAGCTAAAAGTTGAACCAGTAGTGGGAAACTGTTGCTGCTCATTAATTCAGGTAACTCAGACAAATCATTTTTCACAAAAAAATCAAACTAACTCCAAACAGAAGAGCCGCACAATGCTGGATGGAACAAAATGAGAAGCAGCATTTCACCGTTCTCTAGGTGACCTCGCGATCTTTTTTATAGCAAAATTATTCTTGTTTTGATGTGACTCTTTAGAAAGTGAGACCACACTCACAATGACATGGAAAATGACCTTGCGCTTCATTTTCGTTACAATCATTCTCCGATGATATTCTTGTTTTCCATTAGTTCTCATTTGTTCCAGAGAGAGGGGGGAGGGGGCTTGACTGAGGTATTGTGTAGTACAATGATAAGAAACAAGAATAACATTTATTGAACGATATGGAACAATCACATGTGATAATCACAATCATTTTTTCACGCTCATGAAAGGCGAGAAGCAGATAAAGCTCTGGATATATGTGCTGTCAAACAAAAAATTTTTTTCAGAAAGTGAGTATAATATCAATCCTGAGAAGGTGTAGTAAGCGATTTTGTAGATAAATCCTTTTTTAGCACATTATTGAGTATACCATTCCAATGCCACCTTTTTTAGACATCGGTTTTTTTGGTAAGCAGTATGTGCTGCTCGGGAAAGTTACATGTACAAATACAACGTTCAAGTATGCGGTCGTTTTTGTGCAGCCATCTTCAGTTCCTATCACGAACGTCCTTTGATTAGCGTCACGAATTCTGCAATAGATAGTATTATCATTGACCAGATAGTGCTGGAAGCCTATAAAGATATATCCTTTGTTTCAACTGGCTTGGCTTTTGGAAGGCGGGGCTTTGTAATCTAATTGAGGCGCCCGCGACGTCGTCTGCGTCTCTCTTGCGCACGCGCTCTCTGACCATTAGCTAGCCTAAATTAGGTCACGAAGCCCCGCCTTCCAGCCGCCAAGCCATTTGATTCAAAGGGTATGTACGACAATTTTGTGTGAGATATTCGTGGATGTGTGTTAGCTGAAGTACTATTTGTGCAATTCCAGCGTCAATTCAGTAAATCATCAATATAGGCAATTTCGAATCAATAGGATAAGGCGAGTAAATCTCACCATTGAAGCTAATCATCCCATCGTGATCGTAGTCACCTTCTCTGATCATGTCTCGAGCCATACTTTCGCTTAGAGCTTCACCAAGGGAATGCATCAAATGAATCAAATCACTAATGGAGATGAAGCCGTCCGCATCTTTGTCAAATACCTATAATGACTACTATCTGCAGATTTCCGGAATTTTTTTGATTCTCCATCAATGTCTACTGCTGTTTTTTAAGAACGAAAAGCAAGAGGCAGGCTTTCCAATGGGTGTGGAGGCCATGCCCGGGCAAATATGCGTATTTGAACTCATTTGGAAGCTAACTGGGAAGTCCTACCTGGGCCATTGACAAAAGCAGTTCCTACGATTCATTTGTAGTCGAGAATTTTCAACCTCTAGCCCAATATCGTAATTTTGATGCTATCCATAAGAAAAGAGTACGCTTTGGGCAAGAGAGTAAAGTTGGACTTCTTGGAAGTGAATAAATTACATATATGAGCTGGCGCTTGCTCGGTATTGTTAGGGTTTCCGTTTCTCCAATAACAAATTTGCCAAAAAGTGCTTCCAAACCTAGCCACCAGCAATAGTGAAAAGCTTGAATGTATTTACCTCAAATACTTCCTTAAGTTCTCGCTCTTCACGTGGACTCAGCAACTGTCGCCGCAAGACTTGCAAGAATTCGTCAATTTCTATGCAACCATTGCCTGAAATTGTAAAATATAAAAGTATGTTGCTCTTTCGTACTGTATCTATCCATAATAATACTACAGTGGAAGGAGAAAAGGTAGATTAAAGTGAGGAAGGAATTTAAGTTTGGATGGCGGAGGCAGTGAAGAAATCTTCGTAAAGGAAAGGACACCAAGCTTTTTATCAAAAAACACTGATTCTGTAATTTTCCTAGAATGTGCTCCTTTCAACCCACTTAGTTAATGTAAATAGAGCTCTACTTACCATCTGCATCTGCTTGACTGATGATTGCATCCACCTTGCTACTTGATGGTTTTTCCCCAAGTTGCATGAGTGCAAGCTGTAACCATGAAATAGAAAAATTCAGGAAATGTATTAGGCTGCAAAGAAAGTTTTGCCAATGGAGGTTAAGATATATCTTATATATAAAGCTGAATGTCTGTTTGTCTGTCTGTCTGTCTGTCTGTATGTCTGTCTGTACGTATGTTCCGAATAGAAAATTCCATTTCTTAACCGATCCGGACCAAACCTGGCACACACATACACATCAGGCCCCGGCGGGTGTCATAGGCCACTTTTCGTCATCGATCAATATCGATTTTATCGATTTTTTGCAAAATTTTAGCTACGGAGCTGGGAGTTGGCACAGGGGGGTAACCGAGCATGCTGATTACGAATATAATAATGACAGGGCCGGGCGGAGCCGGGTAAGTCAACTAGTTGTTTTATATATATCTTCATCATGAGTGGCTGTCAATCAACAATATTTTGGTCATGTGTACTAGTAACTTTAGACTACTGATTATGAATATCATGGATGCCTCCAAGAAGAGCGCTGACTGCGTTTCGAAACATGTAGAAGGTTCGATTTTTTGAGTTCTGAAATTAATGAATTATTTCTTGCTTGGAAATTGGCCTAGATACCGGAGCAAGTTTTAGTTGGTTATTGCTTCATCTAACCAATACAAAATGTTGTAAAACAGATCCTCAAATCGAGCTTCTGCAAGTTCTGCGCGTCTATGATCTGAAAAATGTGCCTTTCCGCAGAGCCAAGCGCAACGGATTTTTCTCTTTTTTGGGCATTTCTTCTTGGTTATCGTTATCGTTCAAAAAGCTGAATAGCGTATTTGGTAGCTGAGACCCTGGCAGAGCACATTTCAAATCAGCCCCTTCGTTCGCATTAATTTCTAGTAATTATGAGAAGAATCGGCAGAACTTTCTTTACAACCTCATAGTTTATTCGCCAGTTTCAAAGCTACCTGAAGCTCTTCTTTTGTGATTTTTCCATCACCATTCTTGTCAAACTCTCTGAACATCTCACGCAACTCGGACTCTCGAATGCACTCCATAGCTTCGAAGATGGTGAGCAGGGTAGGCAGAACGGCTTTGATGGAAATTGCTGGCTCAGATCAGCAATTTGTTCCTGCAAATAACTGCAGTAAACAAAAACTGACAACTGATTCAAAAAAACTATGCGATTAGCAAATTTCGCGATCTGCGTTTATCGTATAGATGTCAGGTAAGAGTCATCCATTAGTTCATTTGCATGTATTATTATAGAGAACGGGCTCTCGTTCTCAATAATTTACTGGGAGTTAAAAATGAGAACAAAACATCAGTTGCACGATTTCATTCGTATGATCAACTATTTGAAAAAAAATGGCAGAACACAAGAAAGTGAGTCCGCTGCGGTCTAACAATTTCAGCTCTAGGAAACTGAAAATCGAGGATTTTTGATTTCAATGACAAGGAGGATAGAGTAGTAGACAAGTTTGCTCTCTTTATAAAGAGATATCAAATTAGAATGGTTTCCACAACCTTTAGCTCCAATTGCACTTTTACAATAGTGTAAGGCGTGAAGTTTAACAAGAGTAGAAGCGTGACACATCTTCGTCACATCTTATCATCATCATTGCCATTTCAGCTCATTCTACTGAGCCAATATCAGAGTGCCAGCTCATTCATTTGAACTAATGTGAGTCGTATGAGTCGTAGATTTTAAATTTCATTACTTTTTCTCGGTTCATGACGTCAGTAGATCTAACGAAAGAGCGTAGAATGTCATGGAAGTATGTCTTGATTTGAATATAAATGAAACTTTCTTAAAAACTGAATTAAGTGAAGATGGTATATTCGTCATACTTAAACGAAGAACTATAAGAGGCAGCACTGATGAATCATGTTACATGAGGACGTTTGCTAGTAGCTCGTATTACAATGACTCACAAAGAAAATGTTGTGCTTGTCTCATCTTACAATTAGAATAGAAAAAGTGCAAGTGCCGTTTTAGATAGTTCAAGCGCATTAAAGTCGAGCTATCCTTAGAAACGATGGGCTAGAGTTCTAAACATCGCATCTCGACACGTACGCTAAGAATTACATTACATCACCGAAAAGAAAGTTGAAGGATTTTTTTTACCAATAGACAGGTGCACTTTTGATTGACAATTATACACTTACATAGCACAAACATTCTTGGGAACTTTGTAGTAGTAAAGATCGAAAATGGAAAGTAGATATAGCGAAAAAACAAGGGCGGTCGCAAATATTTTTGTGACGGGAAGAGGAAGGGAAGATGCTGAATAGGAATCTCTGTAGAGGTCACCAAGCTAAAAGCCCAATTTTAGAGCTTTCCAGGCCTTTATCGATACCAGACAAAATGCCGTAGCTTACTAACTAACTGAAGCTACCACTTGCTAATAAAAAATAAAAAATGACTTGTATGTGTTATATTTTTACTCCGTTTCGTCTGCTAAGTTTGGCGGTTTTTGGTGAAAGCTTAGTTGAAGTATTTATGAAAACTTTTGAAAGCCATTAGGTGGTTTCTCACTGGTTTTTGACTTCCAGCACTTATTTTCCAAATCTCTTTAGAATGATAAGATTGAGCAACTCTTAGAACAATCATACCTATCTTATTAGGAATTTGAATTGCTCGTAAAACATCATGAAATACTAAAAATGCGTTAATTGGTGTCCAATCCGGCATAAAAATCGCGACTCTTCACATACACCCGGAAGGGGAAAGGGGAGGGGGGAGGAGGAGGGGGAGAGGGGACACAATTTTGTTTTTGAAAAAAACCCTGAGGTGAAATTGGAAAGTTTTTAGAATTTTTAACGGTATTGGCATTGTGAAGTAAGGCAGAAGTGACCTAAACCATTTGACTAACTTTTTCTTCTCAAAAGGTGCTTTTTTATGAAATTCGCAATATTCGATTCATTAAGTTGTAACATATGTTTTGCACACTTGAAAAAATACCTTTATAACTTTTCCAAAGATTTTTTTTCATCTCAAGATTGAATGGAGGGCTGTAATTTTTCAACACATATATGCCACAAGTGGTAAATACAATTTTTGAGGTTTCGAAGTTGTTTCGAATTATTTTTAGCAAATTACTAACTTGCGTTACTGAACAGCTTGAACTTGCAAACTTCCCTCATATAGTACCAATATCCCTAGAAATTCAACAAAAAACTGAGAGCAAAAATGAGAATGAGAGAATTTTTAAAGGCAAAAGAAAAAATTGGAGATTGGAGCGCCTTCACAAAATTGCCTTTATATTTAGTTTAACCCATACCTGTAAATGTGGAAATGATGCCAATAGATACTCCTTTGTCCATCGCTCATATATGCCAGGTAAAAGGGTTTGTCAAAGTATCTAGGGTTTTTCAGAAAAAAATAAATTGTCTCAAATTTATGCTACATCCTAATAAAAACAAACAAATCACTGCGGAACTTTGCCAGATTGTAGAGGAACAAAAAATTTCAACGGCCCTTTGTAGGGGAGAAAATCCCAAATTCCCAACCCAAATTTATCTTCACATAGAAAGTGCTAGAGTTCTAAACAAACGCGATACATCCTTGAAGGAAAGATAGCATGATGGAATGAATGTGCAGATACGCATTTATCCTTTCCGTGCCGATGTCAACATACATTTGTTCTTGAGAAAAATGTCGAGAATGTAATGAATGTGGAATTTCTAAGAAAAGGAAATGGATTATCAGCCAGCAGAAACCCAATTACTCAAAGCAAACACTGGAAAGCGATCCGTTTTAGTACAAGTGCAAACAGCTGGGGGCTTTCTAAAGTGCATATACACTTTCTGATAGGGCAAGTGTTAGTGTTTCCCTAATAGAATTTGTGTGGAGTGGCGAGGATGAATTAATCTAGAGAAGGTTGTTTGAGTGAAAAGAATAAATTTTGAGGGTGTATGCCGCAGATGGCAAAAAATCTGCCAAATTTAGTTTTCAAACCCACATTTTTAGCAAAAAAAATAAAAGCTTATCACATCAAAGTACCATTTGATTCAACTGGATTGGAGGCTGGGAGGCGGAGCTTCGTGACCTAATAAGGACCAAAAAATGATCAGAAAGCACGTTCGCGAAGGAGACGCAGGTAGCTTCGTGTACGCGAGCGGTTGCCTTTCAGCCGCCATTCTCTTTGAATCAAAGGGTAATTTTGGTAGAATTCGGTAATCTGCTTGAACAGTGGTGAGAATGTGCTTTTAGTGAACTTTGCCACTAAATGGATAATTTGTTTCCTCGGGCGAAAAAGTCGCTTTTCCGTAAACAACATTTTAACCAAAGTGCGGATCATATCATAAATAATTCATCAGCCTTGTTTTCATTCATCTAATATTATTTATACCCTATGTGTAGCCAAATCAAATATTTGACCAGGACTCAGATGAAGTCGTAACAAGGCCAGATAGACATGTCTCTGGCTATGGAAAGTCTAAAAAATAACTTTGGACAATGGAGTGATGGATTCACAGTTATTGAAACCTTTGAGGAAAGGGTAGCCATTTCTGGCTGCCTGGAAGTCCATTAGCTGAGAAGACTTATAATGTTTATTTTAAGGCTAAAGGCAAATCAATCTGCGAGGAAAAGAACAAAAATCAAAAAGTGTCCAGAAAAGTACACTGCTGAAGCCCTTAAGAGGATGATGGATTTGCAAAAGTTGACCTTTAAACTGAAACCGCGATTGATATTATGAGGTCTTCTGCTCTTAAAAGCAAACAATTTATTACCCGATTAAGATGTTTATAATACACTTTCAAATTGAAAATGGCTCTGGTAAACCCAAATTTTCTTTGAATCCCATCTTCTGAGCACAAATGACATTCCGCAAAATCGAAAGGTGCACGATTTAGCTCTGCAATAATTATTACCAAAAATGGTAAACAAATAATCAATAAATTTACATTGAACTCGCTAACAAAAGAAAATAAATTTTTTGAGCTTAGGTTTAGTAATCTTTTTCAGTAGTTGCAAAGTGGAATCAAGTTCTTGGTTGCTTGTTACCACTACAGCTAGAGGAAGAGGTATTTAGTTTTTATGAGGAAGACAAGTTAAATAAGAAAATTTTTAGAAATTCGTTTCATCTTCTTATAAGAAAAAACACACTTGCAGACACGATCTTTTGTCCGTGTCCCAAAAAAAGGACATGGAGGAAATCCGATGGAAAAACATTTAGCCAACACTTTGCATCTGACATCTCAGAGATCAAAACATGATCTAGCGATAGTCTACAGCTTCAAACTGAGATAAAAAATGCGGGATTGTGAAAGAATCAAAACCCCAAGTGGGAATTCCCTTCTTGGACACAGTAAGCTTCCATTGACACTGGATATGTGATGCTGGTGGCTCAACTTCATTAAGCAAAGCCACTCAAACTTCCGCTAAAGAGTAGACCTTTCTGAAACTTACAAAGTCGAAAGAGAGCAAAAAAATTGCAAAAAATGTGAAAAATCCCTTGGATTGCGTTATAGCTGAACAAAGATGTTAAATCTAATAGAAAATAAGTTGACACCGCAGTCTTGACAAGTCTTTAGTCTTGACAATCGTCCCTTGTTTGCTAAATGCCTTTTCAAGAAAAAACTAGAGAAGTTGAAGTGAGCAATGTCCAGATGACTTCTCATCGATTCTACTCCGATAAATTAGGTTGAAACATAAATATGTCTTGCCCCTAGAGGAATCAATTCAAGTCTAAAATCCAATACGGGTTGAGATAATGTCTTCTAATCTGCTTTCGACAGCTGTACGTTTCCGAAAAAGGCTTGTAAGCCAAATGCGCTTCGCAGATGAGGAAACACGATCAGCGCTTAATGCCCTGTAGCACATCTTGAATGGCCTCGACTAAAACTACTGCCATGTCAGTATACTTATTGTCATTAGAAGTTTTTTTTACAACAGTTTCATCTTCCAATTATTATCTACAAATCGTCGTCTATTTGCTAAAGAGTTGAGCCGGACTGCGCTGATACGCTGCGTAAACTTTGAATTAACTGGCATGGTGGCTGGAAGGCGCGGCTTTGTAACCTGATTAAGGCCGCTCGCGCCCGCGACGCAGTCTGCGTCTCTCTCACACGCGGATCAAAGCATAAGAGTGATAATTGTTTAACCAGTCGTTGAAATCGTTGAATT